GGTCCCTTCCAACTCAAACCATTCCACGATTTATGATTCTATGAAGGATTTGGGAACACCTCTGCTATGTCAGAAACCCCCCAGCCCAGGCACTGTGGTAGTGGGCCCAGAGGGAGCACAGCGAGACAGGCAGCAGGGAGCCCCTCCTCACCGGGGAAATTTGATGGAATGAAATGAAATTTCCCATCTGGGGGAGGAAAAAGCCACTGCTGTGGCCGAGACGTTCCGGGCCCCCCTGTCAGCGGGGCAGGACCCTCGCACGGCGCTAACTCACCCCGATGGTCGAGGCCATGTAATCCGCACACATCTCAGCGAAGTCCCGCTCCAGCACCCCGTAGTACAGACCGTAGAAGAGGAGGGAGATGCCAAAGTCCATCGCGTCTTCCGGTTTGATTCTACAACAGGAGAGCCCAAACGACACCAAAAGGATTTTTGGGGGCTGCAGGGGTGCCACTGACACAGCCCCCAGCACCGGGGTCCCCCATGGCAGCGGGCACACGCCACCGGGAAGCATCGCCCGCAGAGGTCGTCTGAGTGCCTGCCCAGCCCCGGTCCCTGCTCTGGGACACTGCACCTTGGTTGTCAACAAGCAGCATTTGATGGGACCCCACCTGGTGCTCATCGCCCTCACCAGCCTCCGGAACACCAACTGCAGTGATCTCCACCTATCTCGTGCACCAGATCAGCTCCCAGTAAGCCCCCAGTTAACACTTCCACATCTCTGCAGGCAGTCGCCAGGTCTGCTCGTATTCCAGAAAAGGAATCAACCTCTCTACACAGGAAGACGGCTGGGGCGAGGGTCCTCTGCCACCACACCTGGGCTGGCTGCTTGCTGCATGCACCTCGTGATCAGGGCGGCAAAGGCAATCCCAGTGCTGCCCCCAGGCTGGACACTCACAGAGCTGGAGGAGCTGCCGACAGCAGGGCTCTCCAGCGACCTTGACCAGTTGAGGTGCCTCAACTGTTTTTCCAGAGTCATACAATCACAGAAGCATTAGGGTTGGAAGGGACCTCAAAGATCATCCAGTTCCAACCCCCCTGCCATGGGCAGGGACACCCTCCACTACACCAGGTTGCCCAAAGCCCCATCCAACCTGGCCGTGAACACTGCCAGGGATGGGGCAGCCCCAGCTTCTCTGGGCAATCTGG